CCATGTCTTGAAAGTAAGAAATCACATTAGGTACATATATACGTTGTGAGAAAATTGAAAAGTGACCAAAATGTTCACTAGGAAAGCATCAATATCACGGGTAGGCAAATGACACCCTCTTTCTGCACTGCTGTATATAAGGTGTGCAGGATACTTAGCAGATAAGATCTTTTTATTTTCATTAATAAGAAGTTTACACTGAATGAAATTTGCCAAAAATTAAAGTTGTACTATGTTAAATATGCAGATGAAAAAAGTCTAGAATTATATTTGGATATAATATCTACATTGTTTTTATTTTATTTTATTTTATTTTATTTTATTTTATTTTATTTTATTTTATTTTATTTTATTTTATTAATCCTCACCTGAGTATATTTTTCCATTGATTTTAGATAGAGTAGAAGAGAGGGAGAGGAAGGGAGAGAAAGAGAGAGAAAACCACTGATGTGAGAGACACATTGATTGGCTGCCTCCTGCATGACCCGACTGGGGCCAGGGATTGAATCCGCAACCCAGGTGCATGCCCTTGACTAGGAATCAAACCCACAACCCTTCAGTCTGCAGGTCAAACCTCTCAATTGCTATGCCAAACTGGCCAGGGCTTCAATATTTTATTTTATGGTTTCATTAAAATCTGTGGTTTCATTAAAATCTGCAAGAACATGATTTAACAAATCAAAATATCTAGAGTTAATGGGAACACTTTTATTGCTGACATGTTTGCCACATAACTTGATATATCAAAGTATGATTGTCGGTAAGATCTGACAGAATGAGCACTATACTATAAAGTGTTGACCTTTACTTTCCATATGACTTTCAGTTCATATTTCATAGAGATGATAACTTCTGCAAATAATGTTCCTTTTCAATGTTTCTGCATATTTTTCCATAGCTACCATGTAAATTATTGTTAAACTACTGAGCAAGGAGAAATTTATTTAATCTCAGTGTAATATGGAGGAATTACCTTGAAGCAATGTTGGCCTTCAGGTACATAAGCAAGAAACTATCAGAGAGGTCACAGAACAAATCAAGAAATAAAATCACAGATATATCCATTTAAGACACAGCAAGAAGCAAAGGAAAGCGCTGGGGTAAGTTAACACTTTAGGGTATAATCAAGTACTATAAGGATCATCTACCTGAATGTTCAAATGTCCTGCCTCTCTCTTCACCTCATCAACCTTTCCTGATGATGATGGTGTGGTTATGAAAACAGGGTCACAATATGAACAAGGGAGAGATTCAAACGCAATAATGTTAAAGCTTGGGAAACAGGCTGCTGAATACTTATGGTTTTAATCGCCTTTCCAGGGTACAGTGCACGGGGGCCAGAATTAGAACATACTATCACGAGTGAGTGATCAATTTGAGGGTGATAAAATTGTCAGTCCAGTGGTACATGATCATGATATGGTCTTTCCATTCCATCCATTAGTAATAATCTAGTTTGTTACAACACAGTTTTTCTTTATTCTATCTTTAGCAGTCTTACAGGTTACAAACTTACTTGCTATTCAATAGCCTGTGAATTTTGCCTAATTCTTATAAGCTACCAATTTACTATCTTTGAATTTCATCCATCGTGTTTATTTTATTATCTTTATATAAGAATTTAATATTTTCAAAATACATATCACAGAAAACACATATTACACATGGCATATAACAATAAATATGTAGAATTAAACGATGTATGAATACTAGAATGACAACCGAATTCTTATTTTAATATGAATCTTCTACTTTAGATCCACAGTTTACAATCAGTTAGTGTACTTCTATTGGACTAATATTTTTGTCTAATATTTGTTGAGGGAGAGGAAGTGAGAGAAACATCAATCTGCTGCCTCCTACATGGGACCCTACCAGGGATTGAACCTGCAACCCAGGCATGTGCCCTGACCAAGAACTGAACTGCCAACCTTTCGGGGCTTGAGATGATGCCCAAACAACTGTGCCACACCAGCCAGGGCTTCTTTCTATTTTAATGTCCTCATTTATTCACTACATTAGATATAACCAAGACCATTTTAGGATTGTTACCTCTAAGGCTCTAAATACTTTTTTCAGATTTTACTCAAAATTTACACAGGACAGTTTAGGTTACCAGTTATTAACTAACACAATGACTAAAACATAGCAGATGATCAATGTACAATGTATAATCTGTTTTATGTACAAAGGAATCAGTTCTTCCTATTAATGAACTGCCAATGAAAATATGAGAAATTCTCCTTCTAAAGGAATATTTTTCAAACTGTGTGGTGATCCTTGTCATAAATTACAATTTGGCAATTATGTAGTTGGCTCATCAATCAAATGGAAAGGAAAATTACTCTCAAAATATTAGGAGAACTGAAAAACTAAACAAGATGTTCAATTGAGGGATAGATTGAAATAAATATTTTAAAGTGGATGAGAGCCACAAACCTGGTTGTCTGTCAATGAATGTGTACATATAAGTTTCATTAAAGTAAAGAAAATTCAGAAAAAAAATGGGAATGGGGGGTGGGGGTAGGGAAGCCTTCAACCCTAGTAGTTTCCAAACTTTCTTTAAAAAGTATTATAATTTTTTTTAACATTATCTCATTAACCTTTTCAACTTCCACCTGAGATAGGAAAGGCCCAGAAAAGTTGAATAAATTGATCATGGTTTCATAGCCAGTAAAGTGACAGAGATTGAACTTAAACCGAGTTCTTATGGACTCTCAGGATCCCACGATCAAGCCCATGCTCTTGTTACACTGCCTCACTGATTGATGAATAAGCAAATGAAATCTATAAATGCATCAAGCTGATATCATGAAACATTCCTAAATCGATTTTTTATTTTTTAATTGCGCTAAAATAGACATATTACAAAATTTACCTTTTCAATAATTTTAATTGTACAAGTACAGTGATATTAAGTACATTCACATTGTTGTACAACCATCACTACTATCCATTTCTAGAACTCTTTTCATCTTGTAAAACTGAAACTCTATACCCATTAGGCAGTAACTCCCTAGTTCTTCTTCCTGCCAACCCCTGGCAACCACCATTCTCCTTTTTATCTTTATGAATTTGACTACTCTAGATACTTCACATATGTGGAATCATTAGCATTAGCCCCTTTGTACTGAGCTTATTTCACATACCATTAACACCTTCAAGATTCTTCCATGTCTGTAGTATGTGTCAAGACTTTCTTCCTTTCTAAGGCTGAATAATATTCCACTGTGTATACTATACATACATATATGTGTATAGTATACACATACACATTTTGTTCATTCATTCATCCACTGAAGGACACTTTGGGCTTTGTGAATAATGCTGCTTTTAATCCTTTTGACTATGTAAACTGTCTTAGTATGTTCAGGCTGCCATAACAAAATACCATAAACTGGACTGCTTAAAACAACAGAAAATTTATTATTCCTCACAGTTCTGGAACGTGAGAAATCCAAGATCAAGGTGTAGTTGTTTCAGATCCTAGTGAGAACACTCTTCCTGGCTTCTAGATGGCCACCTTCTCACTGTATCCTCATGTGGAGGAGTGAGAGGGAGGAAGGGGGGGGGGAGAGAGAGAGAGAGAGAGAGAGAACTTTCTGGTGTTTCTTCTTTTTTTGTTTGTTGTTAATCCTCACTCTAGGATATTATTCCATTGATTTTTAGAGAGAGTGAAGGGAGGAAAGAGGGATAGGAGGGAAGGAGGGAGGGAGAGAGAGAGAAACATCAATGTGAGAGAGACACATAGATCAGTTGCCTCCACATGACCCTGACCAGGGCCAGGAATTGAACCTGCAACCCAGGTATGTGCCCTTGACCAGAATCGAACCCACGACCCTTAGGTTTGGGCTGATGCTCCAACCACTGAGCCAAACCTGCCAGGGCTAGTGTTTCTTCTTATAAGGGGATCCCTCATGACCTCATCCAGTCATAATAACCTCTCAAAGGTCCCATCTCCAAATATCATCATATTGGTGTGTTAGGGCTTCAACATTAGGATTTAGGGGACACAAACATTCAGTCTATAGCATACTCAGAAGTGGACTCACTGGATCAGATAGTAATTCTATTTGTAATTGCTTGAGAAACAGCCATACTATTTTCCATAGTGCCTACGCAATTTTCCATTGCCATAAATAGTATTCATGTTCCCAATTTCTCTACATCCTTGCCAATATTCGGTATTTTATGTTTATGTGATAGAAACCATCCTAATGGGTGTGAGGGAGACAGTAAAACTTTTAAAAGCTAATATACAATACAGGAAAAAGGAGAACTGCTCAGCCTTTAAAGAAAAAAAAAAAAAAACCGCTAGAACAAATCTAGTATTATTGTTGCCTCCTTATGACAGTCTCTGAAAGGCTCTAAGAAATGGCTGAAAAAATCTTAAGAAAGAGACTCATAGACCAGTCTTATACTGGGGTGTGGGGGTTTAAGTTAGGTAGAGAAAAACTGCTATTTAGGATATCTCTTTCAGCTTTCCTAGTTCATATGTTAAACTTCCTACAATCTAGGACAACAGATAGAAATCCTATTGAGAAAATGGAAATTACTGTGTTTCAACTAGGAATAAACATCACGTTGGAGGTGTACTTGGGAAGGTATACTTTTGCCATCAACTTTCCAGAAAGTGAAGAAATCCAAAATATATCATGTGATGTCCGGTCGGTGTGGCTCAGTGGTTAAGCATCCACCCATGAACCAAGAAGTCGCTGGTTCGATTCCCGGTCAGGGCACATGCAGTTCTGGGTCCAGTCCCCAGTGTGGGGCATGCAGGAGGTGATCAATCAATGTTTTCTCTCATCGATGTTTCTATCTCTCTCTCCCTCTCCCTTACTCTCTCTCTAAAATAAATAAAGAAAAAAAATTTTTTTAAACATATCATGTGAGAACTGATATATTTTATTCTGGTTCTTATAAATGTGTTTGTTTATCTTTTAGGGGTAGAGAGGATTGCTCCTATAACATTATATTGTACTTAATAGCTTATAGTTCTCGTGCTCGCTTCAGCAGCACATATACTAAAATTGAAACGATACAGAGAAGATTAGCATGGCCCCTTCCCAAAGGATGACATGTAAATTCGTGAAGCATTCCATATTTTTTTAATCCCCATCTGAAGACACGTTTGCATTTATCTTCAGATAGAGCCAGAGGAAGAGAGAGAGAAACATTGATGTGAGAGAGACACATCAAGTTGTTGCCACCCACATGGCCCCAACTGAGACCAGGGACAAACTGCAACTGAGGTACGTGCCCTTAGCAGGAACTGAACCCGGGCCTCTCTGGTCTGCAGGCCAACACTCTTAACTGCTGACCCAGATAGCCAGGGTGCATTCCATATTTCTAATAAATGAATTTGGCAAAGTGGCAGGATACAAAATTAACATCAAAAAATCGATGGCATTCTTATACCAACAATGAATTCACAGAAAGAGAAACTAAAAAACAATCCCATTTACCATTGCAGCAGAAAAAAAAAAAAAACTAAGATAAATAGGAATAAACTTAAACAAGAAGTAAAAGACCTACTCTAAGAAACTATAGGGCATTGAAAAAAAAAACAGAGGAAGATATAAAAAAGTGTATGCATATACCTTGTTCATTGATTGAAAGAATCAACATCATTAAAATGTCCATTCTATCCAAAGCAATCTATAGATTTAATGCAATCCCCATTAAAATACCAATGACATATTTCATGGAACTAGACTAAATACTCCAAAAGTTTATATGGAACCAAAAAAGACCCTGAATAGCCACAGCAATCCTGAAAAAGAAGAACAAAGTAGGAGTGATCACAATACCAGATATCAGGTTATACTACAAAGCGACTGTAATCAACACAACCTGGTACTGGCACAAGAACAGGCATATAGACCAGTGGAACAGAATAGAGAACCCGGAAATTGACCCAAGACATGCTCAATTAATATTTGACAAAGGTGGCAAGAGCATACAGTGGAGTAAAGACAGCCTCTTTAATAAATGGTGTTGGGAAAATCGGACAGCTACATGCAAAAAAAATGAAGCTAGACCACCAACTAACACCATATACAAGAATAAACTCAAAAGGGATAAAAGACTTAAATGTGACTCATGAATCCATAAAAATCCTAGAAGAAAATGTAGGCAACAAAATTTCAGGTATCACATGCATCAGTTTTGCACTGATACAAGGCCTGAGGCAAGAGAAACAAAGAGAAAAAATCAACACATGGAACTACATCAAACTTAAAAGCTTCTGCACAGCAAAAGAAACAGCCATCGAAATGGAAAGGGAACCCACTACATGGGAGCGCATAATTGCCAACGATACATCAAATAAGGGGTTAACTTCCAATATATAGAGAGTACTCATATAACTCAACGAAAGGAAGACAAAGAACCCAATTAAAAAATGGGCAGAGGACCTAAACAGACACCTCTCTAAACAGGACATACAAATGGCTAAGAGACATATGAAGAAATGCTCAACATCACTAATCATCAGAGAGATACAAATTAAAGCAACGATGAGGTACCACCTCACACCTGTCAGAATGGCTGCCATCAACAAATCATCAAACAAGCGTTGGCAAGGGTGTGGAGAAAAGGGGACTCTAGTACACTGCTGGTGGGAATGCACACTGGTGCAGCCGCTATGGAAAACAATATGGTGTTACCTCAAAAAATTAAAAATTGAACTGCCATTTGACCCAGTGATCCCACTTCTAGGAATATACCCTAAGAAGCCTGAAACACCAACCACAAAGAATATGTGTACCTCCATGTTCGTAGCAGCATTATTTACAATAGCTAAGATCTGGAAACAGCCCAAATGTCCACAGTAGACGAATGGATAAAAAAACTGTGGTACATATACACAATGGAGTACCACGCAGCTGTAAGAAAGAAAGATCTCTTATCCTTTGAGAAGATATGGAGGGACCTGGAAAGTATTATCCTAAGCAAAACAAGCCAAGCAGAGAAAGACAAGTATCATATGATCTCTGTTATTTGTGGACTATAATGAACATAACTGTCTGAGGAATGGGGTAGTCCCAGAGACATGGAAGTGGGGTACAGACTGACAATCCCCAGAAGTGGGGGTGGTGGAGGAGAGATAAACCACAGAACTTATATGCATGTATGCATGAACAATGGACATAGACAACAAAGCTGGGGACAGGGCAGGGAGGAAGGGGGAGGGGGGATCAGTGGGGGAAAAAGGAGAAACATCTGTAACAGAAATTAATTAGTAAAAAGAAAAGCAATAAAAAAAGAGTATATGTCAAATAAGTTTATCCAACTGCCCACTGAAAGATATAGATATGAGTATAGGTACAAATATGTAAATGTATACATACATACATACAAATTTATATATGTATATATACATATTAAAGATCTATTCAGATAGAGCCACACAGATAATTATATATAAATATATGTTTCTATATGTAACACAAGAAAACTTGTAGTATCTTATTATAGAAATGTCCTTTCTAAGCACTATATAAAATGCAAAAGCTATAAAGTTTAATTATGTTTAAAAAACTAAAAACTTCAGCACAGTAGAAACACAGTTATAGTATGAGAAATACTTTCATTTTATAGTATAAAAGGCTATACTATCTATAATATGAGGAATCTCTACAAACCAATAACATGAAAATTATACAATAGTCAAAGAATTTGACAATTAAGAAAGAAAACTGTAAATGAACAATACATTAAAAGATGTTCAGTCCAGCTGGTGTGGCTCAGTGGTTGAGTATTGACCCATGCACCAAGAGGTTGCCAGTTTGATTCCCAGTCAGGGCACATGCCCATGTTGTGGGTCAAATCCCCAGTGGGGGGCATGCAGGAAGTGGCCAATCAATGTTCTCTCTCATCGATGTTTCTATCTCTCTCTCCCTCTTCCTCCCTCTCTCTCTAAAATAAATAAAAGAAAAAAAGAAAAAAAATTTTTTTAAATGCTCAAACTTACCAATAACCAAAGAAATACCAATTAAAGTAATATTTATTGATTAGACAGAAAATGATTGCTAAAATCCTAATTCAAAACCAACAAAACTATTCAATAGCAACAAAAGGTAGACTGGAACAATTATGCACAATGACCAAAAGTCTAGAATCATTTTGAATCCATTTTTGTATAACTTTAAAAATAACTAACCAACCTGAGCCACTTTCATTGAATTCTGGGTAGAACCACCAGCATGATATTCAACTTTGAATTTTTTCACAAGTTCATTAAACCTGTAAAGAAATCACAATAGAAAAAGTAAGTTAGCATATGTCAGTTATTACAATGCAACCTCTGATTGGAAGCACATTAAATCACAATTAGTGGAATATTTGAATTACATAATTATGTTACATAAAAGAATTAAAATGCTGTATAAAAAACTTTGCTAAATACCCATACTTATGACATTTATTATGTAAATATATAACTATAAGAATGTAAAATATATAGGTTTTCCATTATTAATCATTAAACTAAAGTTAGAAATAAAAATTCACAGTTATAAGCAATGGATACTTTTCTACATTAAGTGTTGATTTCTAGAATCCCATATTCTGGTAAGTGTAAAGTCTCTGTAGATATAATTAAGAATCTTGAGATAAGATCCTCCATCTTCTATTACCTTGTGTGGGCCCTAAATCCAATGACAAGTCTTCTTATAACAGACAAAAGAGAAGACACAGAAGAGAAGGGCATGTGAAGATGAAGGCAGAGGTAGAGTGATATGGCCATAAGCCAAGTAAACCAAAGAATGCCAACACCCACCAAAAGCCAGAAGAGGTGAAGAGGCAAACAAACAAACAAACAAACAAACAAATAAACAAACAAACAAACAAACAAACAAGTCTCCACTGAGGGGACCAGCTCCTCTGTGCTGAAACAGGTCAGTAGCTCACTGATTGGAAATGTAATCTACATTCAAATTGAGGTGCTATTAGTGAGAGGGAATCTATTACTAAATCCCACTGATTATTTCTCCTCTCAGAGTAAAAAAATTCTCCTGAACTGCATATCCTCCCATTTCTTACAGGAAATTCAGCTCCATTATAATCTTATGGTACCACTGTCATATATGCAGTCCATTGCTGACCAAACGTCATTATGTAGTACATGACTATATTTATAAAGTAACCACCACCGATAGATAGATAGATAGATAGATAGATAGATAGATAGATAGAAAGATGATAGATAAATAGATAGCTTGACCATTCTTTACTCTTACTCTGACTCTTTATCTGCATTACTACCAATGCACAAACTCCATTTTGTCTTATTATTATTGCTTGTTAAGTCTTAATGAAAGGACAAGTGCCTTCATCTTGTTCTTCATGAGTGATTTGACTACTCTTGGTCCTTTTGCATCTCCACATTGACAAACTAAATTATCAATTTCTAAAAAAAACTTGTCAGAATTTTGGACTAGTATTGCGTTAATTTTACACACACACACAGAGAGAGAGAGAGAGAGAGAGAGAGAAGTACTATCTTTCCAATATTAAACTGTCTAATCCATGATGACAGTGTATTTATTTAGGTCTTTAATATCTCTCAAGTAAGTTACATAATGTTGTCATAAATCCTGTATATCTTTTATTATTAGAGTCACTACTTCATACTTGCTATGTTTTAATATTATTGGAAGTGATGTCTGTTTAAACCTAATTTTTATTTGTTGCTAGTATTTAGAAATATAATTACTTACATAAATTTTTTATCTAGACAAGTTCCTAACATCTCTAATTAATTCTAATGTTTTCTCTATTTTTTCCATATATATATATATATAATTGCCACTTGTGAATAATAACAATTTTTTCCTTCCCTTTTCTTGCCTTAGTGCAGACTAGGATCTGCAATATTAACATGCATAGAGAAGAAAATCGTGGCCTGAAAAATCCTGATGAATGACAGGGTAGGTCCATTTTCCAAAACTGGAAGTTTTCAAGAGAAGTGTTTAATTTTTCAGTCTGATTAATTTTCATTGTGTGTTTGTACTGCTTTTACTAAAGAATTAAATTTTTTAAATGCCATAGACCTATATCTACTATTGATAGATATTTTCCATATATTTCAGTTTAGAAATTTTAAGTTATCAAAATATTTGCACAATATAATGCAACAAAATTACAATATCCGTGTGTATACTGCAAACAAAATTACCCATATACATGTGTACTACAAAGAACCAGTAAGAGTACAACCAAGGTGTTGACAGTGGTTAGCTCCAAAGTAGAAGCAATTATGGATCTTGTATACATTTATTTTGATTGGCTGTGTAATAAGCAGATAATCTATTTTGTAAAAAGATTTTTAAGTCTACTTCATTTTATAATGGAATAACATAGCAATTTTCCATACAATTATTTAAAAAGAACTTCATATAGAACAAAGACAAACAAAAAGCACAGAGCAAAAAAGTAAGTGATTCTGAATGAAACAAGCAAAGTAAGTTTAACATCTAGAACTGGAATTTGACAGATAAGGAAGAAAAAATATGCAGGGCTGAGGGTAAAACAAAAAAACATGACATATTCAGAGAAACAAGTTAAACTCAGATTAAAATACAGGTCAAAATCAAAGTAGTAAAAACTGACAAAGAAAAGGTAAATTATTCTCTCTGCCAGGCTAATAAATTTAGACATTGTTCAGTAGGCAACTAGGAATTATTAAAATCTATTTACTATTTGTGTGAAAGGCAGGTGTTTTTTCTTTAAAGGACATAGTAGAAGAAAGGAAAAATGTCTAATCACTATTGTACACCTGAAATTAATATAACAAATATAAGATTGTATAACAATTATATTTAAATTAAAAATAATAAATTATTTGAAAAGATGGCGATGGGCAGGACTGGAGCAAGGGTGAGTGTGTGAGTGTATAAGAGAGCATGTGAGTACACGTGAGTGTGGATGAACAACCTTGAGCAGTGCAGAAACATAGGGCAGAGGGTTCCTGTGCTATGGACAAGGAGCAGCTGGCTACAGCGGTAAGCAGCATGTCAGGCCACTTCTCCCTCTGTGGCTGGAAGGCCCTGCCATTTTGAAAGTTCCCTGGTCTTCTCTGGGAAGAAGCAGCTGGGCAACCTAAGTCCACCAGTGCACCCTGCACCACTGGACCAGTGGACCCCACTGTGTCAACGCGAACTAGCGCACAGTAACAGCACTGTTAAGGTACCTGCTCAAGGAAGCAGCAACTAGCTGGTAGGTGAGCACCATCCCCACAGCAGTAACAGTAGCAGCAGCAGCAGCAGCAGTGCCCCCTGGGAAGCCCAGAACCATCCCCCACAGCAGCAGCAGTAGGGCCAGTTTGGGAGCCCAAAACCTTCCTCCACAGCAGCAGGGAATGCACAGAAGTCCCACCCCCAACAGCAGCTGAGGCTCAGAAGCAGAGACACCCCTAGCAGTAGAGGCTCTGGAGTGGACAACCATCCCCAGGCAGCAGCAGCACAGATCAGCAGCTGAGACCCATCCCCAGCAACAACAGCAGAGGCTGATCAGGAGCGGTGCTTCAGCCTAAGAAGCAGCAAGGCTCAGCAGCCGAGACCCGCCCCTGACAGCTGAAGCAACGGGTTTGGAGTGGAGGCCCTCCCCCAGCAGCAGCAAAGTCCTTGGAGCTGAGCATCCTCAGCCCCCAACAGCAGCAGAAGACTGAGAGCTGAGAGCACCCCCAGGCAATAACAGCAACAGTAGCAGCACAAACCAGGAGCTGACACTCACCCTCAGCAGCAACAGCAGCAACAGCAGCAACAGCAGCAACTGATCAAGAGCTGAGCCCCACCAGGCAGAAATGCACCCCAGCAGTACACCAGCTGGATCCATGCACTCCAGTAATGCATCAGCTGAACTCACACACCCCAGAAGCACAGCAGCAGGACTCACACACCCCAGAGTACACCAGTAGGACCCACATACCCCAGCACTGCACCAGCAAAACCCATGCACCCCAACAGCGCGTACCACGAAAGACCAATACCAGCCACCAGTTGTCAATCCTCAAGGACCTACAGCAGGCAAGAGGTGCAGCAGCCTTATTTGATATACACCGACTTGCCTACACATCCCAACATCCCTCACCAGGCCTAGAATTACCAAACTGCTAAAATGGTGAGATAAAGAAACAACACCAACATGAAAGAAAAGGAGGAATCACCAGAAAAGGAACTACATGAAATGGAAGCAAGCAATTGGTCAGATAAAGAATTTCAACCAATGATTTTAAGGGTGCTCAAACAACTTAGTGAGAACTGCAAGCAACATAATGAGAATTATAAAGAGGTCAGTGGGAACTACATCAGCATAAAAAAAAGAGGTAGTAGCTGTGACTAAAAATCAAGTGGAAATAAAGAATGACATAGCTGACATGAAAAATATCATAGAAGGTCTCAATAGGATTAGAAGAAGCTGAAGAACGAATCAGAGAATTAGAAGACAAGACAGAAAAAAACACCCAAATAGAGCAGCAAATAAAAAATAAAAAAAAATTAAAAAGCAGGAGGAGAGTTTAAGGGAACTTTGAGACAACACAAAACCTAACAACATTCACATCATAGAGGTACCAGAAAAAGAAGAATCAGAGAAAGGAATAGAGAACCTGTTTGAAGAAATAATGACAGAAAAATTCCTAATTTGGTTAAGGAAAAAGTCACACAAGTCCAGGAAACAGAGTCCCAAGCAAGATGAACCCAAAAAGACCCACAGCTAGACACATCATAATTTAAATGACAAACACTAAAGACAAAGAAAGCATCTTAAAGGCAGCAAGAGAGAAACAGAAAGTTACCTACAAGGAAGTTCCCATTAGACTATCAGCTAATTTCTCTCTCTCTCTTTAAAAAAAAAAAAAAAAAAAAAAAAATATATATATATATATATATATAATATAATTGATTTTTTAGAGAGAGGAAAGAAGGAGAGAGATAGAAGCATTGATGAGAGAGAATATCAATTGGATGCCTCCTGCATGCCCCCCACTGGGTATTTGGCCCACAATGTGGGCATGTGCCCTGACCAGAAATCCAGCGACCTCTTGGTGCATGGGCTGACACTCAACCACTAAGCCACACCAGCTGGGCTGATTTCTCAGAAATCACTGCAGGTGACTTGCGGTCAAGATGACGGCATAGGTAAACACAGTATCATGTCCTCTCACAACCACATCAAAATTACAACTGAACTACAGAACAACCATCATTCAACTACAGAATTAAAGCAGCCACATTGAGACTGGT